TCCTGTTGCCCGTGTGTCTGCAGCTTCAGCCGTCGCCTCCTGTCTCCTCTCCCCTCACTCTCCCTCCTCCTCCTCACTTGCCCGTTGTGACTACCACTAGCTTTGCTTATAATTGTGAACTCTAAACTATTTCTTCTTGAACTTGTGCTCAGAATGTGTGGTGACATTGTGATCCACCCTGAGCTTGTTTTGCTTTGCCTGCTCTGCTGATTACACCCCACTTTGGCTATGGGGGTGTGTCAGAATATTATTCTTATGTTCTAGCCTGTAGTGGGGTGCTCTATAGCGAGTACAACCCTTCTAGGGTTTGCTATTTGTATCCCCATTTCTGCTAGTTCATTCCTCTTTCTTCTTCTAATTTTGACATTTACCTCATCTCGTGTCCATGCTGCTTACCCCTGAGGGAGACCCGGATGCACCAGACATCCCGACCCCGCGCTTTTAAGCAGAGGCGGTTGAGGGTCCCTACTCCTCTCAGTGGCAGACAGCCATGGACGCAGAGATGGCTTCCTGGAAGTCCACAGGCTCTTACGTTGACGAGGTTCTCCTGCCTGGGGCGAACAATGTCGATGGCATGTGGATTTTCAAGGTGAAGCAGCCGCCGGGTTCTCCTCCTGTCTTCAAGGCGCGTTACGTTGCTCGAGGCTTCAGTCAGTGACAGAGAGTCGACTACTTTCAGACCTTCTCACCTACCCCGAAGATGACCACTCTTCAGGTACTGTTGCACGTCGCTGCTCAGCGTGACTACGAGCTTCACTCTCTTGACTTCAGCACAGCCTTCCTACAGGGCAGCCTTCACGAGGAGATCTGGTTGCGCCGCCCACCTGGCTTCACTGGGTCGTTCCCTCCTGGTATCCAGTGGAGCCTCCGGCGGCTAGTCTACGGTCTCCGCCAGGAGCCTCAGGAGTGGCACGAGACACTGAGGACGACTCTTGCGGCTCTTAGGTTTGCTCCTTCTACTGCTAACCCGTCGCTGTTTCTGCGCACTGACACTTCGCTGCCGCCGTTCTACACCCTCGTGTACGTCGACGAGTTGGTTTTTTCCACTGCTGATACTGAGGCACTGACTCTAGTGAAGTCGGAATTGCAGAAGAGACACACGTGCATAGACCTCGATGAGCTGCGCAGCTATCTTGGCTTGCAGATCACTTGGGACAGAGCACGCCGCACCATCTTCTGACTCAGTCACACATGGTGCAGCAGGTCCTTCAGCACTTCGACTTCTAGTACTCCTCGCCACAGTCCACTCCTCCGCCTACCGGTCACTCGCTCACTCTGCCTTCGGATGAGTCCGTAGAGCCAAGTGGCCCGTATCCAGAGCTTGTCGGCTACCTCATGTACCTGATGACCTGCACTCGTCCTGACCTTGGTTACCCTCTTAGCATCCTGGCACGCTACGTTGCGCCCAGGAGACACCGAGCAAAGCACTGGAAGGAAGCTAAGAGGGTGATGCGCTACTTGTGCAGTACGTCGGGCATGGGGCTCGTGCTTGGGGGACGGGGTCCAGTTGTTGTCACCGGTCACGCAGACGCTTCTTGGGTTGACGACTTGGCTACGCAGCGGTCGTCACAGGGTTACACCTTCAGCCTTGGTTCCGGTTCTGTCTCATGGCGGTCTACCCGCTCGAGAGTTGCAGCAGCGTGGTCAGCTTCGTCTTGTTTACGTAGCCTCTTAGGCCAACACGGCTGATATCTTCATAAAGGCACTTCAGCCTTGTGATCATCAACGGTTCTGTACTGTTCTAGGCCTTGTCCCCACTTGGCCTCACTTGCTCACTTCTTGACTTTGCTTGTACTGTGATCTCTATATATATACCTGCATCCTTACACTTGCTAGGTTGTGATCACATTCTTGCTTGTTCTACTTTATATATAACTCTGCGTGTGAACTGGCCTTGTGGCCGCTTGCTTGTGCTTGGAATGTGTGGTGACGTCGTGATCCACCCTGAGCTTGCTTTGCTCTTCTTGACTGGTCTTGTGACCTCTTGTCCTCCCCCACTTTGCCCATGGGGGTGTGTCAAACTGTCAGAATGTTGCATTTGTCTAGCCTGCAGTGGGGTACTCTATAGCAAGTATAGCCCGAATTAGGGTTTCCTATATGTGCTCACCTGCTTGCTAGTGCAAATCTCTTTTTCCTGTTCTATCTTTCTGCCTACTATTTCTGACATGCTATCAGAGCGGTTACGCTCCTGGCATGTGCGCCCACCGTTAGCTTCCGCTGCTGTCCTGTGGGCGCGCGACGTTTTTTCTTCCCGCTACGCGCTCGGGGCGCGTGACGGTTTCTTGCCCGCCGAGCGCTCGGGGCGCGCGGCGGTTTTCTGCCCTGTCGATCCGCGCGTCGCCCCCCGTCGCCCGTCGTAGCGCCCCCGGGGACCCGCGCGTCGCCCCCCGTCGCCCGAAGCGGCCCGCGCGACCTGCGCCTGGCCCGCGCGCGGCCCGTACAGCCCGCGCGCGGCCCGTATGGCCTGCGCCAGGCCCGCGCGCGGCCCGTACGGCCTGCGCCAGGCCCGCGCGCGGCTCGTACTGGCTGCGCTAGGCCCGCGCGCGGCCCGTACGGCCTGCGCGAGGCCTGCGCGCGGCTTGTACGGGCTGCGCCAGGCCCGCGCGCGGCCCGTACAGCCCAAGCGCGGTTCGTACGGCCCGCGCCAGGCCCGTGCGCGGCCCGTACAGCCTGCCCCAGCCGTCCCCCTTCACCAGGAGCACCGCTCCCACTGTTGCACGCTCTCCTGCCCCGTGCTGCCTGTGTTAGGGTTTGGGGGTGGCGAGTATGGGGGTGACGGATGTGTGAGCCGTCCCCTGCTCCTCCTCCTACTCCGTCTCCCACTGCTGCAGCTGCCGCTGAGGGGGGTGGATGTGTGGGAGACGCGGGTGTGGCGCTAGGGGGGTGTCGTGGGTGTAGTGCTGGAGGAACAGCAGGGGGTGTGTGAATGGGAGTTTTGGGACATTGGGGGAGGTTGAAGGGGGGTGGTCACCGTGAAGCGAGCAGCTCCAGTCGCCCGTGAGACCGTTGCGCCAGTTGCCCGTGAGCCCGTCGCTCCAGTCGCCTGTGAGCCCGTCGCTCCAGTCGCCCGTGAGCCCGTTGCTCTAGTCGCCCGTGAGCCTGTTGCTCCTGCCGCTCGTCTAGTCGCGGAGCCAGTTTCTCCAGTTGCCCGTGTGCCAGTTGCTTCAGTTGCCAGTGTGCCAGTTGCTCCAGTTGCTCGTGTGCCAGTTGCTCCAGTTGCTCCAGTTGCGCCGTGTGCCAGCAATTTCAGCTGCCGCCCACCACGTCCTCTCCTCTCATAGTCCCTCCTCATCACTTGCCCTCTGTGATAGCTTCTAGCTTTGCTTATCATTGTGAACTATTGCTCTGCCTGCTTGTTGTGCTGATTACACCCCACTTTGGCTATGGGGGTATGTCAGAATGTTGCATTTGTCTAGCCTGCAGTGGGGTACTTTATAGCGAGTACAACCCAAATTAGGGTTTCCTATATGTGCTCACCTGCCTCCTAGTGCAAATCTCTCTTTCCTGTTCTATCTTTCTGCCTACTATTTATGACACAAACTTATATGCTATGGTCTGTGTAGGCTGCAGCAGGGTAGACAATATGGGGTACAACACTTTTAGGTTTTCCCACTTGTACCCCACCTGTTTGCTAGGTGATCCATTCCTCGTTCTAACTTTCAACATATTTAGCTTTACGTTTGCTCAAAAAGCACCACTTTATATAATTTCTCTCACGCGAGGCCCAAAGTATGTTCAAAACTGGTTCTGCGGGGCGAAGTTTTTGACACGTGTCCTCTTGTTACCATTTGATGCACTTCCACTCTGAACTAACCGTTTGTCGGGGCAATTTTCGCGCTGGAAAAAAATTTGACGGGGCGAAAAACATTAAACCCCTAGGGGACCAATATACATTTTTGGGAGGGATCAACCCTTAACACGAGACCTGCTAGGTGTTTAGCGTTGATCCCTCCCGCGAATGTGTCCCAGCCAGTTTCCTAGGGGTTTTACGGTATGTTATTTGCCTCCGTCCAAATTTTCCAATGCGTGGAAGTGCATCAGATGGTGTAACAAGAGGACACATGTCGAAAAATTCGCCCCGCAGGACCAGTTTTGAACATACTTTGGGCCTCGCGTGAGAGAAATTCTAGAAAATGGTGTCGTTTTAGTTAACTAAGGGTACGGTACATTCCGCGGTGGACATGTCCCAATCGAAAGTGTCTCAATCGTTTCTACCGCACTGCATCGTATTACACCAAATTGCACCCTAGCTTCGAAATTTTCGCGTCTCTGGTTTAGTTCGGTTCAGAGCGGTACACTCGATTGGGACACATCGATTGGGACAGTGTCCACAGTGGAATCTACCCTCAGGGCTAAATATAAGAGAAATCTGCAAGTCAGGAGCTGGGATATACTTTCCCAAATATATTGCTTGGTTAGCAAATAGTTGGATGCCTTATGTACCACTCTGCAAAAACGCTGGTGATAAATTATGGTCCCAGGTGCCTGGATGCAGAGACTGGAGGGCAGAGGTCAGCTGGTACTTACGAGATAGCGCAAAGATGAACAGTTTATTAGACATACGAAGCATAAAGTCAGCCGATCAAGGCAATATTTGGTCTTGAATGGATAATGGCTACAAACAAGGACCTTTGTGGAGAGGATGTGGAGCAGGAACGGTCTACTCTTAAGGCACCTTAAAGGATACGGAACACCAGCAGTAGAGGCGGGCAGAGATGGGGTGAGAAGCAGAGCAGATGCAGGCGTGGTGAGGCAGAAGCTGCGAAGCTGGCGAGTTGATATGTGGGGCTAGATTGCAGGAAGAATGTCGAGTCTAGTTCCAAAGAAGAGTGTTGACTGTCGAGTCTAGACTGCGGGAAGAGTGTTGGACATGCGGAGTGTTTGGATAGTGGCAAGGAGGCCTTTGAATACCACAGCTGAGTAGGCGGAGCGGAAGGAGTCGATTGTAGCTCTTGGATTGCAGGGAGGGGATTGGGGCTAAAATTGCAGGAGTGTTGGGGCTAGATAGCAGGGAGGGTGTTGGACATGCGGAGTGTTTGAATGGTGGCAAGCAGGCCCTTGAAGACCACAGCAGAGTAGGCGGAGCGGAACGAGTCGAGCAGAGCAGGGGAGGGGTCGGAGGCAACGCGAGTGAGGCAGAACTCGAGGAAGCCAGACTGGAAGGCAGAGGGGCTCTTGAGCTGCTGCTGGTAACGCTGTAACCACAGGTGCGCCATGACTTGGCACATGGCCTCCTCGATCTCTGAGGGAAGCGCTGAGAAGGCACCTGCGGGGATGAGAAGGGAAGGGAAGAAAAGGCGGTTTGAGCTGCTGCTGGTAATGCTGTAACCACAGGTGTGCCATAACTTGGCACATGGCCTCTTTGATTTTTAATGGGAGAGCAGCGAAGGCACCTGTGGGGAAAGGAGGAGGGAGCGAGGCCAGGAGAGGGTTGAGAGCAGGTACTGCTGGTAATTGCAGTGCCCTGCCCAGGATCAACACACCCAGTATCGTGAGAGCCAAGTCCATACATGTCTCATAGCTCGTGACAGCAGGCGCTTGATCAACACTCAATGCATGCACGAGGCACGGGATGTACCATCGAGGATGAACCATGCATGCATTGTGCATGAGCTGATTGGCCATGACCCAGAGCAGAGAGAGATAGACAGACATCGGCAGGACCACCATGTATGCATGACTCATGAGGAAAGTTATGGCATGAAAAGACAAGGGGACTTACCATCGAGGAGGAACCATGCATGCATGAGCTGATTGGCTATGAGTCAGAGCAAAGCCAAACAGACATAAGGCACGCAAGGCAAGGAGCGACGTACCATCGAGAAGGAACCATGCATGCATGAGCTGATTGGCTATGACTGCCGCCGCTAGAGGTCTGATGGTGAAGGGGACAGGGGCGAGGGAGACAGGTGCGAGAGGAACAGGGGCGAGAGGGGCAGGTGTGGGGGGTACAAGGGAGGGACACAGGCGTCAGGAGGACAGGGGCGAAGGGGACAGGGGGGCGAAGGGGGTAGTAATGAGGAGACACAGAACCCATCAAGGAGGAACAATGCACGCATGAGCTGATTGGCTATGATGACTGCCCCGGCCAGAGGACTGGTGGTGATGGGGGGGAAGGGGGGAAGGGAACAAGGGCGGGGAGGACAGGGGGAAAGGGGACAGGGATGAGAAGCGAGAATACAAGGGGCATGATGGGAGGAGTGAAAGGGAAGAGGTGAGAAAGGTTTGCACGTGGGGAAGGAGGGGGATGGGTGGGTTGGTGTGGTGGAGTTGGTGGTTAGGATGGTGCATGGTGCATGCATGGTGCATGCATGGCACATGTGATCCAGCACATTGATACATGCATGGAAGGTGAATGCCTTGTTGGAACATACGCTGGGAGGCCGTAGAGAACGAAAATGCCCGAGACGGCAGTGGAGTTGACATGCGTCAGTGACAGCAGTGATAGCAGTGCACAATACACTCACACGACGACATGTTGGTCCATGCACAAACATATGCAAGGTGGTCGATGAATGCACGCATTTCCATGAAGGCAAGCCTACGGAAGGGCATGGATCATACGCTGGGAGGCCGTAGAGAATGACAATGCCCGAGACGGCAGTGGAGTTGACATGCGTCAGTGTCTTCGCTTCATGCGAGATGCCTGCAAAGGCCGTTGCTGTTGACCCTGGTGCTCGTACGACCTGGAAACACACAAGGGGAAGTGAGGGGTGTAGGAACGAAGACGGTGAGAGATCAGGGTTGGCTTCATGTGAGATGCCTGCAAAGGCCGCTGCTGTGGACCCTGGTGCTCGTACGACCTGGAAACACACAAGGGAGAGGAAAGACGGTAGAAACTTGGGTTAAGTGTCTTGGCTTCATGTGAGATGCCTGCAAAGGCCGCTGCTGTGGATCCCGGTGCTCGTACGACCTGGATATGCACCGGGCAGGGGAAAGTGAGGGGTGTGGGAACGAAGATGGTGAGTGAAAGGATCAGAGCTGGGTCGAAGAGGTGAGACGATACTGAGACTCACTGTTTGAAAGTTGTGTTTGAGAATTCAGAAACACTGCTTGGATATTGAGGGATGAGATGATACTTACTGTTTGGATGGTGGTTTCTTGAGTGAGGCACACTCCAGGCACCACCGCCAGGCGAGATGAACCCTGGTGGGTTAAGAAACGCCATGCAATGCCATGCCATGTCATCCCATTCCATGCCATGCAATACCATGCCATGTCATCCCATTCCATGCCATGCCATGCCATGCCATGCCATGCCATGCCATGCCATGCCAAGCGAAGCAGCAACCGTGCAGACAGGTACATATAAACCCATGCAACCAGCAGACATGCAGGAATGCAGGGACGCATGCAGGGATGCATGTGGTGAGTTGTGAACGGATCCCCACATTTATGGAGAGTGGGATTATACTAGTACAGTTCACATTGTGTTTGCAGGCCAGACCAGGAATGCATGTGGATCAGGGATGCATTCATGTGCATGCCACATGGGAAGGGGATCAGGAACATGAGGCATACCACATGAATCACCCCTCCCCATCTCTCCACTTCATTCCATCCAAATCTCTCAATCCCCATTATCCCCCAATCCCCCCCACCCCCAACCCTATTCTGACAACCTCCGCTCTCCACCTTCTATCCCTCTCTTCAACAACCCTCGCCCCCCCCTCCCCCCCACCCCTTCTCACCTGTCTCTCGCCCTCAACAGCAGCTTGTAACGCCGCGACATCCGCGGTAACCACCCCCCTCCCTCCCTTATTCAACAACCCCTCCCTCTCTTCACACCCTCTGCCCCTCTGTTCCACCCCACCTCCCAACCCCTTCCCTCTCACCTGTCTCTCGCCCTCAGCAGCAGCTTGTAACGCCGCCACGTCAGCAGTAACCACCGGGAGCTCGTCGCCCATCACGCCCACAGCACCCCTCAGCACCGCTCCCAACCCAACCTCCTCGAAGAAACTCAGCACAGAGGCAAAAATAGGGGCACATTCAGAGGCCTCTACTACTAGAGTCCCCAGCGAGGAGGAGGAGGAGGAGGAGGTGAGGGCGGAGAGCGCGGAGCCAGGAGGGGAGGGCCAGGAGCAGGTGTTACAATCGGGGCAGAGCGTGCGGTTACCGCCAATGTCCACCATTGTGCATGTGGTGGGCTGCAGGAGGGAAGCGGAAGGAGTGGAGGGTGTGGGGGGCAGGGGAGGGGAGGGTGGTAGAGAGGCAAGGGGAGAGAGGGCCATGAGGTGAGGTGGGACCATGGGAGTGTTATGAGGATGAGGGAGTGGGGCGAGCGCTGACTCTCTAGAGGGTGCGGTTACCGCCTGTGTCGACCATCGTGCATGTGGTGGGTTGGAGGAGGAAGAAAACGGGAGAGGAGACGTCATGAGGCGCAGAGAGGCGAGGCATCTGTGAAGGGGCTGTGCTTAGCGCAATTTGTGCAGAGAGGAGCAATAACTGTTTAGCTGTGCTGACTGACCGACTGACTTATTGACTGACAGCACCTGGAGGCGAGTGCAGGCGGAGCAGAGGGGCGAGCCATCCGTGGTTGGGCTGTGCTTGGCGCAGTGCTTGGGCAATTAGTGGGAGTGACTGATAGAGTTCTGTTGAGTCCTACTGACTGACTGACTGGCTGACTGACTGACCGATTTATTGACTGACTGCACCTGAAGGCGAGTGCAGGCGGAGCAGAGAGGAGCAATCAGATTATCAGAGGAGGGGCTGTGCTTGGCGCAGTGCTTGTGCAATAAGTGGGAGAGACCCTTCAGTTCCTTCCATTGACTGACTGACTGACCGACCGACTGACTGACTGACTGACTGACTGTCTGACCGACTGACTGATTGACTGACTGACTGATGGCACCTGGAGGCGAGTGCAGGCGGAACAGAGGGGCGAGCCATCCGTGGTTGGGCTGTGCTTGGCGCAGTGCTTGGCGTGCCACAGGTCGTTGAGGCGATATTCAACCATGCCAGACTCGCTGGGGGCAATCTGAAAGAATCACACAGTGGAGGGGGTCATACACACACACACGGTGACAGGTGGTAAGGTGCTTGGCGTGCCACAGGTGGTAAGGTGCTTGGCGTGCCACAGGTGGTAAGGTGCTTGGCGTGCCACAGGTGGTAAGGTGCTTGGCGTGCCACAGGTGGTAAGGCAGTACCCCACCATGCCAGACTCGCTGTTGGCGATCTGCGGAAGGGCACAAGGGAGCATACATATGGGGATATATGGCAACAACAAGGGGTAGGTGGCAGAGGGGCGAGTCTGCTTTTGAGTCGACTCAAAAGGTGGCAGAGGGGCGAGCCATCAGAGGACGGGCTGTGCTTGGCGCAGTGCTTGGCGTGCCACAGGTCGTTGAGTCGATACTCGACCATGCCAGACTCGCTGGGGGCGATCTGTGGAGATTACAGAGGAACACAAGGGAAGGTTTTCGTGGATGGTGCTTACATAAGGGTCCCAGGCGTTCCTCTTAAGGCCATACATATCAAGGCGGCTAAAAAAAAAAAATCATTTATGATAGGCACTTACATAAGTGTCGCAGACGTAGCATTTGGGGTGGAAGAGCTGGCGGTAGCACTCGGTGTGGTAAGTATCACCTTCCTTCACAGAGCACTGCAAGGGACAGGAAAGCAGTGAAAAGAGCAGCAAAATAAGAGAATAACTTAAAAAACGTATTGTATCAGGAACATCACGAATGATCAGCCGTTCAAAGGTAGCTGGTGAGGACACTTCGAAAGAACAACACAGAACCACACGACTGCTCAACGTCACTCGCTCTCTCTCAACCCTCTCACTCCCTCACTCTCACAGCCTCTCTCTTTTTCCACTCCCTCCCACCTGCCTTTCAGTGATTGGTTGGCAGTCACCAGTGGCGGTTCAGGGCAATCAGGTGGTGACCCATGTTTCATCCCATTCACATGACTCGCTCTCTCACTCCCTCCCCCACTCTCTCACCTGTATTTCAGTGATGGGCAGGCAGCAGTGGCAGCACTTGAAGCAGGCAGCATGCCAGTCACGGTTCAGAGCAATCATCTAGGGCCCCAGCTTTCAACTCTTTACACCACTCACTCACTTACTCACTCTGTCGCCCCCTCGCTCACTCACACAAACCCTCTCCCTTACTCTGCTCTCTCACCTGCATCTCAGTGATGGGCAGGCGGCAGTGGCAGCACTTGAAGCAGGCGGCATGCCAGTCACGGTTCAGAGCAATCAGGTACCTCCCGGAATCGATAGTCCGCTCACAAGCACCACATATGCCGTGCCTTGTGGGTCTGCAGGTGAAGGGGAAGGGGTACAGGGGTAGGGGTAGGGAGAATGGGTATAGGGCCATGACAGGGGCGGTTCAGAGCAATCAGGTACCTCCCCGAATCGAATAGTCCGCTCACACGCCCTGCATATGCCGTGCCTTGTGGGTCTGCACGGGGGCAGGGCGAGAGGGTAGGCAAAGGACACGAAGGGGTGAGAAAGCAGCAGTGGCGGTGGCGGTGGCAGCAGCAGCAGCGAGGCACAGGTCCGTTCAAAGAGGCAATGACAAAAGATAAACCCGAATCACTTCATAGCACAATCACTCACGTGGCGTGGAATCCCTTCATGGGTGTCACCAGCACCAGCGCCCCACTCGTCGCATCCAACCCCCCTCCCAATCCTCCTCCAGCAGCAGCAGCGGCACCAGCGGGCACAGGTCCGTCCACCAGAGCCAGCAGATCGACCTCCCCATTCGCCTGCTTTGGAGCCACTGAATTCACCTTCTCCAGGAGAGATGCCTCTGACGTGCTAGTGTCAATGTCCTGAGGTTGGTGAATGGGAGGTGGTTGGGGTGGGTGGAGGGTGGTAAGTGGAGAGACACATTACAGCAGGGCCAGCAAGTCGACCTCCCCGTTGGGCTGCTTGGGAGCTACCGAGTTCACCTTCTCTAGGAAAGAGGCTTCCGAAGTGCCAGTGTCAATGTCCTGGGGTGGGAGGTGGTGTGGATGTGGTGGGTGGGTGGGTGAAAGAAAACAAGAAACTGAATAGCAGCAGCGGGCACAGGTCCATCCTCCAGAGCGAGCAGGTCGACCTCCCCGTTGGGCTGCTTGGGAGCCACCGAGTTCACCTTCTCCAGGAGAGATGCCTCTGACGTGCCAGTGTCAATGTCCTGCGGTTGGTAGTGGTTGGGGTGTGTAATGGGGTGGGTGGGGTCGGTGGGAAGGGATGCAACGGAAGGCCAGCAGGTCGACCTCCCCCCGTTGGCCTGCTTGGAGAGACGCCTCTGACGTACCAGTGTCAATGTCCTGCGGTTGGTAGTGGTTGGGGTGGGTGGAGGGGGGTAAAGTGGAGAGACACGTTAGCAGCAGGGACACCAAGTCGACCTCCCCGTTTGCCTGCCTTGGAGCCACTGAATTCAACTTCTCCAGGAGTGACGCCTCTGATATGCCCGTGTCAATGTCAGGAGAGACCCTGAGGAGGTGCAGTGGGAGCACTGTAATGTAAAGCACCAGAGCGCCCGGCCCTGCATTTGTGCCCAGCCCCAGTAAATCGCCCTCCCTCACCATTTCGAGATCCCGTCCCACTCACCAGAAGGCTGATCTCTTGCTGAAACGCCTTGGAAATGAGGTCATCCGCATTAGGAGCACTGTAGAGCACCAGAGCCCCCGGCCCTGCGTCTGTCCCGAGGCCCAGCAGATCATCTTCCATGGATAGCAGGTCCGGTGGTGGCGATGCTGCTGCTGCTGCCGCTGCTGCAGCTGCCGCTGCTGCTTCGGCCTCTGCTGCTGCCTCCTCCTCTGCCTTTTGGCGGGCTGAAGGGAAGGCAGGGACGTGGCAGTGTGAGGGGTTCCAGTGAGAGAAAACGAAGGGAATACAGGGCGTGAGATGGTTTCAGAAGAAGCAGGTGAAGCCACCCTTTCCGTCTCCCATTTATGTATGATCGGTGATGATTTTCTATCAATAAGGATGCCCGTGGCATGTGCACATGCATGTGCCTTCGTTGTGTTGCGTCTGTGCGTGTTTGCTCGTGCGTGCTATTGCACCCGACTCATCTCACTCACCTCACCACTCATCAGGCCTTCACCACGCACCTCTCTCCTCCTCCTCCTCCTCCTCCTCCTCCTCCTCCTCCTCCTCCTCCTCCTCCTCCTCCTCCTCCTCCTCCTCCTCCTCCTCCTCCTCCTCCTCCTCTCGTCGTATGCGTTCCGCCCTCTCCTCCTCCCACTCCTCCTCCTCTTCCTTCTCTCGGTCGTTAAGTCCAATCCGCACCCAACCAAGCCATTCATGCATGCAATTTCACCCACTTCACCTCACCACTCATCCGCACCGCACTTCATCACGCACCTCTCTCCTCTTCCTCCTCTCGTCGTATGCGCTCCGCCCTCTCCCTCTCCCGCGCCTCCTCCTCTTCCTTCTCTCGGTCATATGGTCGATCCTGCACCCAATCAAGCCAGCCATTTTGAACCAGCCATTTCGAGCCAATACCCCAAACATACATGCAATCCGCAAGTCCATACATTCATGCCACGCCATGCCATGCCATGCCATGCCATGCCATGCCATGCCATGCCACGCCATGCCATGCCATGCCATGCCACGCCACGCCATGTCATGCCACGCCACGCCATGCCATGCCACTCCATGACACCATCACATGCCATGACATGACATGCCATGCCATGCCATGCCATGCCATGCCATGGATCCACAACAATAGCCCACCAAGAATCAGATACACCATGGCAGGTCATGCATCCCAGAACAACAATTCGAGATCAGCCATAACATAGCAACCGCACATGAGGATCCGTTAAAAATTCGTTACAAAGACCTGCCAACACTAACGACAATCGATTTCATTTCTATGTGCAATACGCTGAGCCTGGGCAAAACAATCATGCCCATATTGCCTAAACACGCACCCGCGCATAGTCGTCATAGCCATAGCGGCTCCCCCGCTCGTCGTCATATCGCCCGCCATACCCCTGCCTCATACCCTTCGCCATACCCCCCCTCATACCCCCCGCCATACCCCTTCTGAGTTCTCAAAAGTGTCTCCAAAACGCACCCGAGCATAGTCGTCATAGCCATATCGGCTGCCCCTCTCATCGACATACCCCCCCCCATACCCCTGTCCCTGGCCTCCCCCATCATAACCATAACATCTCACAAACGCACCCGAGCATAGTCGTCATAGCCATATCGGCTGCCCCTCTCATCGACATACCCCCCCCCATACCCCTGTCCCTGGCCTCCCCCATCATAACCATAACATCTCACAAACGCACCCGTGCATAGTCGTCATAGCCATATCGGCTGCCCCTCTCATCGACATACCCCCCCCCATACCCCTGTCCCTGGCCTCCCCCATCATAACCATAACATCTCACAAACGCACCCGAGCATAGTCGTCATAGCCATATCGGCTGCCCCTCTCATCGACATACCCCCCCCCATACCCCTGTCCCTGGCCTCCCCCATCATAACCATAACATCTCACAAACGCACCCGAGCATAGTCGTCATAGCCATATCGGCTGCCCCGCTCGTCGTCATATCGCCCGCCATACCCCTGCCCCTGGCTTCCCCCGTCGCTCCGCTGGTCCTGCAACTGGGGCGCGCGGTGGTCGTACCCGGGGGGCTGGGGAAGCGGGGAGCGGAGAAAGCGGGAACGGGGATCCGGGGGGGTGGGAAGAGCGCGCGCAAGGGGAACGGGATATGACGGGGTTGGAAGGGAGTTCGGAGAAACGGGGAAACCCGGGAGTGGGGGAGTGGAATGAGAATTTTGATGCGAGACATGGGGAAAAGGAGGAGGGGAGGGGAAGCGGAAAGGGGGGGAAGAGAGGGAGGGGGATGGAGGAGGAAGGGGGGGTTGGGGAGCTGGGGGGAGTGGGGAGGTGATAACACGGCAGTATTGCCCGATACGTAACGCCGGTACGTAACCAGGGACTACGTACCGCAGTACTGGACCATTTGAGCCACCAGGGCGATTCATCTTGCATGCCGCCATTGAAGCGGTACGTACGGCCGACGCCCTCGTCCATGTCGTCTTGCGGTAACGGCGCGTGCTGATGCTCCAACGCACTCATCACAAACCTGCCAGCACGGGAGAGGAGAGCGAGAGAGAAGAGCAGTACGATATCTAGAAGGCATGGAAAGAGGGACCAGACGGAGCGTCCGACGAGTGACGAGAAATTCGATCGATCGGACCGAACAAGCGACCACTGAAGAGAGCGTTCACTACAAGGAGAAAGGCGATACGCATGCTGCTTACGTGGAGGATTGAACGCCACATCTCACACCCGCGTGTTTTGTAACGCATTTTGAAATAACGCGTGGCATTTACTAATGACACATAAAAACTGAAATTGATCCCTGGACAAGTTGCACTAACAGTTCGCTAAAGATCCATTATCTTTTCATGACTGCAAGACAACAACAGGATAACCTCACAACTGTAGACGCGTCAAGATTACCTGATTTCAGGAGTTGCTGACAATGAAAACTTAGGAGATCGATTATTCTTTACAGGTATTTCGATGGACGGTTCAAATCATGCGTGTCTAATCATGAAAAGTTCATACCTTTGGAATAATGACGTGACATTGCCGACCACCTCGTCCGCTCGGACGTTTTTTAGTCGACTCAAAATTTATCATCAATGTATATCTCGCGCGTCTGATCACGAAAACGCATACCTTCGGAACCATGACGTGACATTGCCGACCACTTCGTCTACTTGCTCCATCTTCGCCGAATCAGGGAAACGAACTAATAGCGCGATAAATTACTTTATTCTTCTATTCCACGTCGAACTGGATTGGTAGAATCGTCCAAGGCTATAGCTTGCAGAATCTAAGCGAAGCTTTAGAAGAAAAAGAGGGCATATTGCGGATCAACTAATGGGCATATGGGCCTGAGGCCAGAAGCTTCTTAAACTAATGCGATACGGTAACAACCGGATTGCTCACACAATATCGGCTTGAGTCAGTGAATGCACGCATATCCAATCCTAGAACTCTATTGTGTCCGCCTCCTAAGCTTCACGATCTAAACTGCATTATAGACATCAGCGTTACTGATCTATGGAGATATTGCAACAAAACGCCCTGCAGAAAGAAAATGTCCCTGGATTCCGCCGAGCTAAGAAATTCCACCAACTCTAGGCGGGTCTTGGGATTACCAGCTCCTCCCAACCAACCAATCCGGGCTCTCGCACCTCACACCTGCCCCTGGGCTGCTTGGCGCGCTTTGCACAGGCTGAGAGCGCAGAAAGCTAGCGCAGGGATGGGCGCAGGTCTGCGCGGAATCCGCAGGTTTGCTTTGCTGGAGTGGAGACTCCAAGTTGAGGTGCGCGTGTACACTGAAGCGGAGAGTGCGGAGGCTGGGCTGCTTTGGGAGTAGGCGGACGTTTGGCGGAAAAGCGGGCAGGTGATTGCGAAGGTGTGCGACTGGCGGTTCCAGCGCAGCGAATTTCTTGAGGGGTGCGACCTGGATGTTTGATGTGCTTTCCAGCCGCCAGTTCGTGAGCAACAACGTCGGCCCTCAAGGTCGTCATATCCTCCTCTTCGACTGTTTCTTTTCCATGTAATCTAGAGAAAGTTTTCTACTTTGTAGTAAAAGAAGGAAACGTATGGCCTGCATCGGCCCTTCTGCCTCGCCCGGTTGTAGCATCAAAAACTCAAACCAGAATGCCATCATACAACCTTTCCTAAAGTGACTTCTATATTAATTGCTTGTACGAGGGGATGCAACGTAGTCACAATTTACATGCTTCACATAAATTGCACATTCAGCTGGTAGCAATGGTAAGGGCATAAACACCTTGAGAGTCACACGAGAGCAGGATTGGAAAGAAGTGAAGGGCACTCGTTCTGCCCCACTCCCCTCCCCTCGGCCAGAAGCAGTGAATCTTGATACGTCAAAATATCCTCCCTTTCCCAGCAACAGTGTATCACATGAGAGAGCAGTCACTCTGCGTTGACCCACCCCTGCGCTGCCCCCTGCCCTGAGGGGTTGGCGGGGAGGAAGTGGCGTGATGCGGTGTGGTGCGGCGCGAGGGGGATCTTGGTTGGGTGCTCCCCTGCTTGGTGAAGGTTGGGGGGTTGAAGAAAAGGAGGGGACCAGGGGAGAGTAAGGGAAGGAGGAGAGAGGGAGGTAGAGAGGGAGGGAGGCAGGGAGGGGGGGCAGTAGGGTGTGATAAATGAACCAGGGGAGATGCATGGGAAGGGAAGCAAGGGGGAGGACTGTACCGGTGGTTTTCTGGAGTCTACTTTTGAGGCGCCTCAAATGTACCTCTTAATAAGCAATCTAGATGAACTTTCTTTAGCTTCATCATAGCAATGCGTCCAGGACCCAGGTATATGTTCTCTGATGAGCCTGTGGTTTGCTGCATTTCAAGCATGAGTAGTCCAGATGATCCATACTCCTCACACCTCTCGTCCCTCGTTTGAGAATTCTCATTTTTATGTCACTTTTAATTGAGAACTCTCGAACTTGACTCCCATACATGACCCCAGATGAAGCATACTCGTCACACCTCTGGTCCTTCTCACCTCCTCTTCCCCTCCTCTCCCTCCTCCCTCCCCAGCCTCCCGACTCCCACTCCCCTCACCCCATTAATCCCACATGTCTTACAAATATGAGCCCAGTCGCTGCTTCCCACGTGCTGCCCCACCCACTGCTGCTCTCCCTCCCACCACCACCACCACCGTCGCTCCTCACTCCTGACACTGCTCGTCCCTCCCCCCTCCCCCCGCGCCCCCTCCCCCTCCCCCTCCCCCCTAACTGATGCACATCTATAGGCCCTGCTGCCCCTCCCACTGCTCCTTCCCGCCCCCACGCCCCTCCCCCGCTTCCCCCTTCACTGCGCACCTGCTGTACTCCCCCTGATCTTCCCCCCCTGCCTGCTGCCTCTCTGCTGCTTCCACCTCCTGCTGCTGCAGCATCAGGGCGAGTTGAAGGTCGGAACTGGTGCAAGGGGAGGAGAAGTAGCAGAAGAAGGGAACAGGGCATAAGGGGATGAGACAAGGAACATTCTTCACACATCCCCTCCCCCCTGCCTGCTGCCTCTCTGCTGCCTCCACCTCCTGCTGCTGTGACATCAGAGCCAGTTGAATATCCGAAAGGGGAGGCAAAGCAACAGGAGAAAAGATGAGAGGAATCACACAGAGAAGTAGCAGGAGAAGGGGAAGAGGGCATAAGGGGATGAGACAAGGAGCATTCTTCACACATCCTCTCCCCCCTGCCTGCTGCCTCTCTGCTGCCTCCACCTCCTGCTGCTGTGACATCAGAGCCAGTTGGCGATCTGAAAGGGGAGGCGAAGCAACAGGAGAAAAGATGAGAGGAATCACGCGGAGAAGTAGCAGGAGAAGGGGAAGAGGGCGTCCGGGAAAAAAAACAAGAGTTTTCGGTTTTCACAGACCCCCTCCCTCTGCTTCCCCCATGCCGGCAGCTGCCCTTCCTCCACGCAAAGCAAGCTAAATTTTAAAGCTGGCATGGCAGCATGGAATATGCATGATTGAGTGCTTGTGGGGTGTGGTATGCGTGATACGTGAGGTGTGTGTGGGATGACTCACTGTGATACGTTGATGCCTGGCTGAACCGTGGATGCAGCACAGGTGTGTGCCTGAGTAACTGTGCGGCATGGTGTGGTGTGGTGTGGTGTGGTGTGGTGTGGTGTGGTGTGGTGTGGTGTGGTGTGGTGCGGTGCGGTGCGGGGTGGAACGTGTGAGGTTAGAAGAGTGCGTTGAGAGACTCACTGGTATGCGTCCATGCCTGGGACGAGCTCCTCTACCTCTAAGCTTCTTGGAGCGGTGAATGCAGCACGTATGTGTGAGGCCTAGAGCGGTGAACGCAGCACATATGTGTGAGGCCTAGAGCGGTGAATGCAGCACATATGTGTGAGGCCTAGAGCGGTGAATGCAGCACATATGTGTGAGGCCTAGAGCGGTGAATGCAGCACATACGTGTGAGGCCTAGAGCGGTGAATGCAGCACATATGTGTGAGGCACGAGCTCCAATCCTTCCATGCCCTTCAAAGCAAAGCCTAGGTATGTGTGCCTGCATGGTGTGGTGAGAGTGAGGCCTACGGTGTGGGATGAGAGACTCACTGGTATGCGTCCATGCCTGGCACGAGCTCCAACCCTTCCATGCCCTGAAAGGAGAAGCAGGCAGAGAGAGAGACAAGCACACGGAGAGCAGGGGGGAATTCATTCAAGATTGCTTTCAGACTATCCCATGGGCGAGTGTGTCAGTCAGGGCGTTGGCTGGCTTGCATGGGTTGCACTTTTGAGTCGACTCAAAAGCACACGGAGAGCAGGGGGGAAGTCATTCAGGATTCTTTTCAGACTACCCCATGGGCTAGTGTGTCAGTCAGGGCGTTGGGTGGCTTGCATGGGTTGCACGAGCTCCAATCCTTCCCTGCCCTGACAGTAGAAGCACGCAGAATGAGAGGCATGCAGAAAAGGAGTGAAAGGCAGAAGGAAGGGAAGTATACGAATTACGAATGACAAGCCAAGAAGGAAGCTACAAGCTATTACTCACAGCAGCAGCGGCAGCAACGATGGCAGCATCATCTTCATGCGTCCACTGGGCAGCAGCAGCGCCGTCATGAGTCAGGGCCAGTGACACTTGGTCACACTTGGTCACACGTGGTCACACATGATCACACGTGGTCAATACACCTTTTATAGCATGCCTGCATGCATGTGTCACTCACAGCAGCGGCAGCGGCGGCAATGGCAGCATCGTCCTCATGCGTCCACTGTGCAGCAGCAGCGCCGTCATGACTCAGGGCCAGCGACGGTGGAGGAGCAAAGGGAGTGAAGTCCCCCTCACAGAGTGTGGTGTCTCCCTCCACCTGCCCCAAGCTATACTCACAAAGACAGCTGCTGGTCATACTCACACCTGCCCCAAGCCACACATGCATGTGTCACTCACAGCAGCGGCAGCAGCGGCAATTGCAGCATCGTCCTCGTGTGTCCACTGTGCAGCAGCCCCCTCCCCCCCATGAGCCAGGGCCAGAGACGGCGGAGGAGCAAAGGGAGTGAAGTCCCCCTCACAGAGCGTGGTGTCTCCCTCCACCTGCCCCAGCCTCTCCCACACCACGCCCGGCTGGTTGAGGTAGCCCTGATCCGTCACCAGCAGGTAGATGTGGCTGGTGCGCTGAGGCAAGGAGAGGTGGGAGAGACGGAAGAGAAGGGAGCGAAGGGAGCGAAGTGAGGACGAGAGTTGAGGGAGTAAAATCCCCCTCACAGAGCGTGTTGTCGCCCTCCACCTGCCCCAGCCTCTCCCACACGACACCCGGTTGGTTCAGATAGCCCTGATCCGTCACCAGCAGGTAGATGTGGCTGGTGCGCTGGGGGTAACAAGGGTGGCAGGGTGGGGAAGGGAGAGTGAGTTGTCTCCCTCCACCTGCCCCAGCCTCTCCCACACAACGCCCGGTTGGTTCAGATAGCCCTGATCCGTCACCAGCAGGTAGATGTGGCTGGTGCGCTGGGGGTAACAAGGGTGGCAGGGTGGGGAAGGGAGAGTGAGTTGTCTCCCTCCACCTGCCCCAGCCTCTCCCACACAATGGCCGGCTGGTTCAGATAGACCTGATCCGTCACCAGCAGGTAGATGTGGCTGGTGCGCTGGGGGTAACAAGGGTGGCAGGGTGGGGAAGGGAGAGTGAGTTGTCTCCCTCCACCTGCCCCAGCCTCTCCCACACAATGCCCGGCTGGTTCAGATAGACCTGATCGGTGACCGGCAGGTAGATGTGGTTGGTACGCTGTGGGTGGGGAGAGGGAGGGACGGGTCACGGAAGGAAGTGGGGCAAGGGAGGCAAGGGAGTGATTTTTCCCCCTCCACCTGCCCCAGCCTCCCCCACACGATGCCGGGTTAGATGTGGTTGGTGCTCTGGGGGTCATGGCAGGGAGAAGGCGGGGATTGAAGGTAGGAAGGGAGTGAGTTGTCTCATCCCACCTCTCCCACATGACGCCGGGTTGGTTGAGATGGCCCTGATCCGTCACCAGCAGGTAGATGTGGTTGGTACACTGAGGGTGATTGGAGGAAAGGAGGGAAGAGAGGGGTGAAGGGAGTGGATTTGACTTGGCTGGTTGAGGTAGCCCTTATCTGTCACTAGCAGGTATATGTGGTTGGTGCGCTGAGGACAAGGGGAGGGGGGAGAGGGGAGCATGTGGAAAGGGAGGTGGGTGGGAAAGGGATGAGGCAGAGGGATGAGCAGTGCTTCAGAGAATAAAAGGGAGGTAATATGAAAACATATTATGAGGCACCTCAAGAGAAGATGGAAGAGGTATTGTGAAAGCAAATACTTGAAGGAGGCAAGGGCAGCAGTGAAAGAGGTGTGGTGGAGCGAATTCACCTTAAAAACCACCGAATCACCTTAAAAGGGAGTGCTGAAATTGTTGTTGCGGAAGAAAACGCAGAGCCCTGAGACGGCTTTGTGAGTGTATCTGTGAGCTTTATAAGTGAAAAGAGTCACCTTAAAGAGAGTGCTGAAATGATTATTGCGGAAGAATACGCAGAGCTGATTCTCCTTCACTCCCTCCTGTAGGCTGAAGAGGCTGGTGTGATGGGGACGAGGGAGGGGCGTGGTGGTGGTGCGTAATGGAAGGCATGTGGTGATGCAAAGGAAATACATATGGAAACATTCATTCGAAGGATTGACGAGAGGAATCCGAGATTTGACAGTGGTTGACGGAATGAGGAGAAAGCGAAGATAAGATTGAGGGGATGATGTAATAGGAAGGCGAGGAAGACGACAAGGATGAGGAGGAATCAAGAAATGTAGTCGAAACGAGAGGGAAGAGGCGACAGGGAAGAGAACTTGTTTTGAGTCGACTCAAAACAGCGCGTGTAATGAGTCGAGTTTTGAGTCGACTCAAATCAGGAATCAAGAAATGTAGTCGAAACAAGAGGGAAGAGGCGAATGGGAAGAGAACTTTTGAGAATTCTCGAAAGTCGCACTAATGAGGAGGAATCAAGAGATGTAGTCGAAACGAGAGGAAAGAGGCGAACGGGAAAAGAACCCTCGCCTTACCCGTGCTGACTTTTGAGTCGACTCAAAAGGTGAGGAAGACGACAAGGATGAGGAGGAATCAAGAAATGTAGTTGAAACGAGAGGAAAGAGGCGATAGGGAAGAGAACTTTTGCCTTACCCGTGGTAAGTGAGCTGGCTGGCTGTGTCGTTGAGAAACGTGAAGAGCAGCAGAGCTGACGGTAGGGGAATGGACACAGATGGCAGAGGGGAATGTGGAGAATGGAAGAATGGAGTGAGCGGGATAGATTGAAAGCAGCAAAAAAACAAGAGCAAAAATATTATTATGCGTGTACTTTGAAGTCGTTTAGAAAAGCACACCTGGTTAGGACCTAACTCACTGAAGGACCGCTTGAGAATTCTTCTGACCTTCCCGCACACCTGGTAGGACCTAACTCACTGACACATGACTCACCTTCCCGCACATCATCCTGCATCTCGTGTTTTGAGTCGACTCAAAACAGGACCGCTTGAGAATTCTTCTGACCTTCCCGGATGACTTTTGAGTCGACTCAAAAGTCACCTCTTTAAAAAAAGCACACCTGGTTAGGAATAACTCACTGAAGGACCGCTTGAGAATTCTCCTGACCCTGCACATAACTCACCTTCCCGCACATCACTCACCTTCCTGCACATCATCCCGCATCTCGTGTTTTGAGTCGACGCAAAACAGGACCACTTGAGACTTCTTAAGACCCCGCACATAACTCACCTTCCCGCACATAACTCACCTTCCCGCACATAACTCACCTTCCCGCACATAACTCACCTTCCCGCACATAACTCACCTTCCCGCACATTATCCCGCATCTCCCCTCCCCATATCTCCACATCGTTTGAGGCACCCAAAATATAATTGGTTCCAACAGAAAGCAAAAGAGAACCCTCCCAGCCCCCATCCCAACTCACCTTCCCGCACATCATCCCGCATCTCCCCTCCCCCTGCCTGCTCCCCCCTTCCTACTGCCAGTGCAGCTCCCGCTTCACTCCTCCCCACTCCATCCTCACACCTGCGTTCCTCCCCTTCCTTCTGGTCTTCCTTCCCGTCATCTTCCCCCCCCCCTTCCTCGTCCTCCCCCTATGCCCTCCTCTTCCCTCCTCACTTGCTCCTCGTCGCTTCTAACCTTCTCTTCAGCAGGCCTTTCTGGAGCAGAAGCAGCCTCACCCCCCTGCCTCGACTCTGCACCACTCTCTACCCCCTCCAACCCCTCACCACCCTTCTGTCTTCTCTCTACACTTTCTCCCTCTGTATCCCTCTCACACTCCGCCCCGCTTGTTTCTTCTGCAGCAGCACAGGCTCGGGCAGCCGAGGCAGAAAGAGGCTCGGAGGATGTACGAGGCTCGGAAACCGATGCAGGCTCGGATGCAGGAACAGGCTCGGAAGCTGGATGAGGCTCAGAAACCGGTGACGGATTGGAAAGTGGTAAAGGTTCGGAAAGGAGAAGAGAGGCAAGGGACTCAGCCAGGGCTGTTGCTGTCACTTCCCCCTCCCCCTCATTCACTGCATCTCCTTCATCTCCTAGGACTGTTTCCCCCTCCTTTTTTTCTTTCCCCGCTGTTGGTTTTCCCCACCCTCCCGCCCACCACTCCCTGCTTTCCCCACATCCCCTCTTTCCCCGGCCCTACTTCTCACTCTTCTTTCTCCTAGTCCCTCTCCACCCCCTTTTTCCCCTCCACCTCCCCCCCCACCTCCCCCTCCACCTCCCACATCCCCACTTCCCCCTCTTCTTTCTCCTAGTCCCTCCCGACCACCTACTCCCCCAACTCCCCCTTCCCCGCTTCCCCCTCCCCCTCCCCCTCCTCCCCCTCCCCCGCCCAGCAGAGCAGCAGCAAGGTCGGGGTGGGAGGCCTGCAGGGCGACTAGGCGCTCCACGATGCTGTTGTAGGAGAGGGAGCCCACTGCTGCTGCTGTGGCCGAGTCCTGTTTTGGGAGCGGGTTTCAGGGGGGTTGAGAGGGGTTTGAATCACTTGCGAGGCCTGCCGGGCAACGAGGCGTTCCACGATGCTGTTGTATGAGAGGGAGCCCACAGCCGCTGCTGTGGCCGAGTCCTGGGGTGGGTTGAGAGGGGTTTTGATGCTATTGAGGCCTGCAGAGCAACGAGGCGCTCCACGATGCTGTTGTATGAGAGGGAGCCCACCGCTGCTGCTGTGGCCGAATCCTGGGTGTAGGGTTTAGAGGGGTTGAGAGGGGTTTTAACGCCATCTGAGGTCTGCAGAGCGACTAAGCGCTCCACGATGCTGTTGTAGGAGAGGGAGCCCACTGCTGCTGCTGTTGCCGAGTCCTGTAGGTCAGGGGTTTCAGAGGGGTTGAGAGGGGTTTCACCACTTGGGAGGCCTGCAGGGTGACTAGGCGCTCCTTGATGCAGCTGTAGGAAAGAGAGCCCACCGCTGCTGCTGTCGCTGAATCCTGCATGGGGTTCACAGGGTTTAGGGATCACAGGGTTCAGGGTTCACAGGGTTTTGGGCATCTACCAGCCAGCCATGCACGAGGCTGATGTCCAGCAGGTCGAAGATGGCAGCATGCTGTACCATGCTCTACCGTGCCGTACCGTGCTGTACCGTGCTGAACCGTGCTTACCGTGCTCTATCATGCTCACCTGCGAGTCCACCAGCCAGCCATGCACGAGGCTGATGTCCAGCAGGTCGAAGATGCCATACCATGCCGTGTCATACTACACCACCCCACCATGCCGTGTCATACTATACCACCCCACCATACCTGGGCTGGGCGTCCACTAGCCATCCATGCATGCACAAGGAAGCATGTCGAAGATGGCAGCATGCTGTACCATACCATACCATACCATACCATACCATACCATACCATACCATACCATACCATACCATACCATACCATACCATACCATACCATACCATACCATACCATACCAGACCATACCATACCATACCATACCATACCATACCATAGCACACCCCAGATTGTCACAGCATACCATACCATACCTGCGAGTCCACCAGCCAGCCATGCACGAGGCTGATGTCCAGCAGGTCAAAGATGGCCGTCTCTGGTGTGAACTCAAACGCGTGGATGCTGGGAAGGGGGAGAGGATGAGGGATGGGGATGGGGATGGGAACACGCAAGGAGACGGGGAACGAGGAGGGGGAGGGGAAAGGGGAGAGGATGATGTCCAGCAGGTCAAAGATGGCTGTCTCTGGTGTCAACTCAAACGCGTGGATGCTGACACATGGGGATGAGACGGGGGAGCAAGCAAGCAAGGAACGGGATGGAAGGGGAAAGCTGATGTCTAGCAGGTGGACGGGTAGGATGGGGATGGACGGGAATGGGGGAACGCAAGGAGAGAGAAGGAAGGGGAAGGCTGATGTCCAGCAGGTCAAAGATGGCTGTTTCTGGCTTGAACTCAAACGCGTGGATGCTGATGCATGGGGATGGGGAGGGGGGGGGAGGAGGGAGGGGGCGAGGGAGGGGGCGAGGGAGGGGGAGGGGGATGTGGATGGGGATGGGATAGATACACGCAACGAGAGTGGGGAGTGGGGAAGGCTGAAGTCACTGAACTCAGCTCATCCTGAAAATCCTTACCTCACACACAAAAGGAATCGCACTCATACCCTGTGAACCGCACTCAACCGCCGTATGCACCCCAGCTCACCCTGAACATCGCACTGCATGCCCCATCTCACCCTGAGCACTGCATTGCACGCCCCGTATCACCCCATGCACCGCACTGCACGCCCCGTCTCACCCTGTGAAGCGCACGTTGACATCAATCCCCGTGGCGAGGCGGGGCAGCAGAGCCATGCAGTCTGCCACGTTCTGCTGGCGGTTGGTCCCATACCCGGGAGAGCGGCCCTGTGCACCGCACTGCACCGCACTGAATGCCCCATCACACCCTGTGCACCGCACTGAATCTCACTGCACCGCACTGCACGCCCCAGCTTACCCTGTGAAGCGCACGTTGACGTCAATCCCCGTGGCGAGGCGCGGCAGCAGAGCCATGCAGTCTGCCACGTTCTGCTGCCTGTTGCTTATGTACTCTGCTGAACGGCCCTGAAGAGGTGAGAGGAAGGAAAGAAGGAAGGAAAGGAAGGTTGACGAGGGGTTGAATGGAGGAAAAAGGGTGAGTCACGTCACGTTCAAGCAGAGCCATGCAGTCTGCCACGTTCTGCTGCCTGTTGCTTATGTACTCTGCTGAGCGGCCCTGAAGAGGTGAGAGGAAGGAAAGAAGGAAGGAAAGGAAGGTTGACGAGGGGTTGAATGGAGGAAAAAGGGTGAGTCACGTTCAAGCAGAGCCATGCAGTCTGCCACGTTCTGCTGCCTGTTGCTTATGTACTCTGCTGAGCGACCCTGAGAAGGGTGGAAGGAAGGACGGATGCGAAAGCGAGGAGCAGCAAGTCACGTTCAAGTCAGCCATGCAGTCCGCCACGTTCTGCTGCTGGTAGGATCCAACTGAGAAATGCCAGACTCTCCTGTCTCACCTCTTCCCCTCTTCCCCCTCCCCGTCCCCACCAATCCCCTTTTTTCCCTCCCTCCCCCTTGCACGCACCTCCATGCCTGTGTTGCTGTCCAGCAGACAGTGCGGCACCTAAAGCCAGCAAGTCTGACTGGGAGATGCTATGCTCTTCCTTCCAACGCCCCTTCTTCCCTCTCTCCCCCCCATTCCCTTTCCATTCCACGCTTATACGTCCATGCCTGTGTTGCTATCCAGCAGTGGGCGTGCCACCAGAGACAGCAGGTCCCACTGGGAGATGCCATGCTACTTCCTCACCCACTCACCCACACTCTCCCCCACGCTCTCCCCCACACTCTCACCCAAAAACCTCCCCCTTCCACGCACATACCTCCATGCCTGTGTTGCTGTCCAGCAGTCGGTGTGCCACCAGAGACAGCAGGTCTGATTGGGAGATCTCGGTGGCGCTGGGGCGGAGGGAGATGGCGTTGCGGAGCAGCACACATTGGCTGCGACGGAAGGAAGTGAGAGGGGAATATGGAATAGAAACACGTGCTCTGAGTTGACTCGAAAGAGATCTCAGTGGCGCTGGAGCGGAGGGAGATGGTGTTGCGGAGCAGCAGAAGGAAGAGGGGGACGGATGGAAGGGGGAATGAACAGAGGAGGGATGAGGTGAGTGCAAGGGGGAATGTTGTAAAAGGAGGGAGGGTGGGTGATGGCTGTTTGTAAGGGGGTGAGCAGAAATGCAAGGAAGGGGCAGGGGGGTGAAGAGCTTACCAATGCCCAGGGGCAGGGTCCATTGTCGTTTTGCATGACGATAGGCACCTGCTGCCGCCCCAGGAACGACCCACAGGTCTTTCAGTCACGGTCAGAGGGGGAGATTGGGAGTGGAGTGAAATGATGCTCACCAATGCCAAGCAGGGGGCAGGGCCCGTTGTCGTTTTGCATGACGATGGGCACCTGCTGCCGCCCCAGGAACGCCACGCGCTTTATCTTGTACCAGCTCTCCGCCGTCTCCCCTCCCCCGCTCTGCCCCTGCCCCTGACCCCCACCCGATTGCGTCTCTTTTCCTCCTCCCCCCTCCTCTCCGCCCCGCTCCGCCTCCCCTCGCCCCTGACTCTGCCCCTCATCCTGACCCTGCCCTCCTCCCTCTGCCTCCGCCAACGGCGGCGCAGCAGGCGCTGGAGGACTAGCAGACGGCGCTCGGGGACTGGCGGAAGGCGCTGGGGGAGTGGCGGAAGGATCTGAGGGAATGGCGGAAGGATCTGGAGGAGTCGCGGAAGGTGCTGGGGGAGTGGCGGAAGGCGCTGACGGAGTGGCGGAAGCATCTGGGGGAGTGGCGGAAGGCGCTGACGGAGTGGCGGAAGCATCTGGGGGAGTGGCGGAAGCCGCTGGGGAAGAGGCGGAAGGATCAGGAGGAGTGGCGGAAGGATCTGAGGGAATGGCGGAAGGATCAGGGGGAGTGGCGGTTCCAGCGGAAGACTGTTGCGCTGTCATGGTCTCATGAGACGTCTCAACTGTCGCCACTGGGGAAGTGGGATCTGCAGCGGAGGATTGATGTGTAGCCATGGCCTCTGTGCCTCCGCAATGAACGGCTACAAACTCGCGGTGAAGCTAGACCCTCAAGTTCGTTAATAGGCGCCTCAAAAACAGGCCTCTGTGTCTCCGCAATGAACGGCTGCAGACTCACGGTGAAGCTAGACCCTCAAGGTCTGAGACGTCCTCAAAACCAGGCCGTTATGCTGAGACGTGAGAAGACACAGGAGGTCGCAACTGTGGACAAGATTCGCTACAATTTGTAACCAAAATTGTTACGCTCCGAATGACGACTACAAACGTCAGGCTCCAGAATTTCCTGATTCCGATCCGTACGATCATCAATCGGACGGTTTCGGGAAAGACGAAGAGACTAGCCAGCACCACCGCTGCTCATGCTTGCTCGTATGCAGCCATGAATGCCTGGACTATCAGACAACTTGTGATTTTTATCGTAAGTGCTTCTATATCAGGACTAAGATTATCGAGGAGTGCTTGCTGGAATGCGAGGAAGGAACGCGCAGCGGATGATACACCAGACAGAAGGAAGTATGAAGATTGAATGACAAGACAAGACAGCCGGACGCAATTCCCAGGTTCTATACCAGGACTAAGATTATCAAGGAGGAGTGCTTGCTGGAATGCGAGGAAGGAACGCGCAGACGATGATGCACACGGAATAGAGTATGACGGACAGGCTGACGGAATTCCCTAGGTTGATCGGACGGAAAGCATGAAATTGAATCTCTGGCATTGGGAAGGGAATATCCGAGCTGAGGTCGTCTCTCCAGCAAGTGTCAAGAGGGGCTAGTGTCATGACACAACTCGAAAACACATGGAGGACTATCCCTCCTGGTTGTCAGCTAAAACCAACCAATGAGATCGCGGGAAATCGTCCAATGTGCCCAACATTGACACCAGGCTGGAGCCGCGCTCACACGCGGCTCCACTTGGTGTCAACCGTAAACAACGCTTGACACCAAGCCTTTCTTGACACTTGCTGGAGAGACGACCTGAAACGTAGCAGTCAAATTCCAGTCACCCCCGGTCACGGAACAATCTAGGAACAATACACCCAAGGAACCTAAACCAAAGGAACCGAATTCAAAAACCAAATAAACCGAGGCAGAAAGACTTCACATCCCTTTGATGCGACATCACCCAAATGGTCCCCCACCCACGGATACGGTGACCGTGCCATCTGCTGCTGCTATGCCCAAAGGGCGGGTCATTCTCGTTCGTTTCAATGCGGCTCAATGAGATGTTTAACGTTTTTACAGTGGTATAAATACTTTTAGAATGGTCGAAATGGGTATTAAGCAAAAATGAAATGAAAAAAAGTTTCCCCGATTCCCCGTGCCAAACCTTTTGGAACCGAGCATTTTCGGAAACCTACTCCCTGGCGGCTTCCTAGTTCTGGAGAGAGCCTCTGTGTGTAACATAAGGACGCGTCCCCTGAAGCGGATCGATCGGCTGGAAGATCGATTTTGCGCGTGGGGTGTAGAACTGTAGTGTCGTAATCAGCAAGGTAACTAGTCTCGCCAATGTTTACGAATGTACAGTAAACAAAGTTCCACCACCAATCGATGTAGCGAAGTGCACATATCGAGCGTGAGATTGCTTGGCGCGGTGTGGAATTTCGCGCCACGAGTGACAGTCAAAATCGATCTCCTTCGCTCGTCGTCGCATTGTTACTGCACGACGTCGCATACAGTGGATTTCCATGTGCGACTTTTACTCGCGACAACCTAGCTGTTGTCGCAGGTTGGATGTACCTCAATCCCGAAACCTGCCTTACCGAGCCTGTCACCTGTATATCGGTGCGCCGTAGTTGCGCAGTCCTGGGCACCGATCTCTACCGAGCCTAGGCTCGAAGTGACGATCGGTGCGGATCGGCCAATCTTCGGCCGATCCGCTTCAGGGGACGCGTCCTAACACCGTCGGCGCAATATTTCCTCGCGGCCCAAGTCTAACCCTATGTGACGTTCCTAATTGCACCCTTTTTTTCTAAAACTGGCACAGTATATGTGAGCTTGCCCTAGTTGCGTAATCTCGGACGAGGAGTCAGGCGGCATAATTTTGTCTGCAGCGATGATGACATACGAGGCAAGCCTATTCGTCTCATTTGGCTCTGGTTTCGTTCCGCGTTGCCGTCCCTCCGTTAGATTGCTGTCCTTCCGTCAGGTTGCTGTAGCTCCGTCAGGTTGTTTTCCGTCAGGTTGCTGTGTGACAGTGTAGGTGTGTCCCTTTCGTGTCATGTATGCATGCACCAGGGCGGGAGGAGCAGCGCAAGGGGGCGATAGGGGAGGCCCTGACGCATTTGGCGGTGCTCCCAGCCAGTGCTGTGCTCCTCTTGTGCTGCTTGCGGTGTGCTGCTTGCGGTGTGTCATTCTTGCTATGCACTTGGCATGGAAGGAGGAGCAGCGCAAGAGGGCGATAGGGGAGGCACTGACGCACACCTTGTTGCCGGCCAATCCAATCCAATCCAATTATGTGCTCAGACTGTGCTGCTCACGTTCTTTCTTGCTATGCACTTGCTGTGACTATGCTCGTATGGCAGGAGGAGCAGCGCAAGGGGGCGATAGTGGAGGCACTCACACACTTCTCGGTGCTCTCGGCCAATGCCATGGCGACAGGTGTCACCACCACGCGCATGCGCCTGCAGCTCATGAAAGTGCGTGCGCTATAGTCACATGTCTGCCTGCGTTATGGTCACATCCCTGCCTGCGTTATTGTCACACCTCTGGTATCTCAATGACCTCATTTATGTCCACATCGCACTCACCTTGTCACACTCACCTCATCCCTTCCTCTCCATTCCGCTCCCCTCCACTCCCCTCTCCCTCCCTCCACTTTCTCCCGCCCCTGTTCTCCTCACCACCAGAAGTACTCAGAATTGTGGGACTTCTGGTTGACAGAGGAGGATGTAAACCCATCAGCGCCTTTTTCCACCTCTTCCCACCTCATTCTGCCCTTTTCCCTCTCGTCTCCCCCCTTCCCCTCCCCCTCCCCGTCTTCTCTCTCCCCACCACCAGAAATACTCAGAAGTGCAGGACTTTTGGTTGACAGAGGAGGATGTGAACCCATCAGCACCGCCTACAATCCATCCCGACCTGCTTCATTACATCGTCACACACGATCCCCGCCTCTCCCCCTCCCCCTCCACCCGCCCCTCCACCTCCTCCCCCCCAACGCCTCCTCCCCGCCCCTCTCCCCCTCCTCCTCCGCCTCCCCCCCCCAACACTCCCCCCCCCTCGCTCCCTCACTCACTCTCGCTCGCTGGCGGATGGGCGGACAAGGGGGAGGATGGAGGGAGAGGAGGGAGAAGTGGAAGGAGGAAGGGAAGAGGAGGAGGGAGGAAATGGAGGGGAGGAGGGAGGAGGAGAAGGGGAGGGGGATGTTGATGAGGGATTATCAGTGGTATCGGATATGGAAATAGATGGGATGGTAGTCGAGGGGGGAGAGGAGGGGGATGGGGAGGGTGGAAGGTTGGGGGGAAGGGAGGATGAAAATGAGGAGGAAGAGGAGGCGATGGGATGGGGAGGTACAATCAGGCGATCACGGTCAAACCCGCTCATTTGAAGATCTTATCTCCCTTCAAGCAAGGGGCCTACGCCTACGATAAGGGGAGGCGATGGGGTGGGGAGGTACAATCAGGCGATCACGGTCAAACCCGCTCCTTTGAAGTTCCCGCAAGCAGTCTTACACGGGGAGGGGTTACGGGGAGGAAGAGGAGGAGGAGGACGAGGAGGCGATGGGGTGGGGAGGTACAATCAGGTGATCACGATTGAACCCTCTCCTTTGAAGTTCTTTCTTCTCCTAGCTTCCTCTTCTGTGCTCTTACAGCGAAGGGCCTACACCTACTCGTACATCAGGCGATGGGGTGGGTGGGGCGGTGCAATCAGGCGATGGGTGGGTGGGGCGGTGCAATCAGGCGATGGGGTGGGTGGGGCGGTGCAATCAGGCGATGGGGTGGGTGGGGCGGTGCAATCAGGCGAGGGCGGTGCAATCAGGCGAGGGGCGGTGCAATCAGGCGTTGGGGTGGGTGGGGTGGTGCAATCAGGCAAGGGGTGGGTGGGGCGGTGCAATCAGGCAATCTCGGTCAAACCCGCTCCCTCGAAGTCCAACTTTCTTCCCTTCAGGCCTCTAGGTTTGAGGTGCCTCGGGAATAAGAGGAAGAGAAGGGGATGGGGTCGGATGGTACGGTACCATCAGGCGACGCGATCAAGGCCAGGCGACGCGATCAAGGCCAGGCGACGTGATCAAGGCCAGGCGACGCGATCAAGGCCAGGCGACGCGATCAAGACCAGGCGACGCGATCAAGGCTACTTTTGAGGCGCCTCAAAAGCCGGATGGTACCATCAGGCGAGGCGATCAAGGCCAGGCCCACTCTTTTAACAACTTCTTTCTCGTTAAGTTTGCTCTTCCCCATGAGTGAGGAGAGGAGGATCCCTGGGGGGGGGCTCATTTCGTTTTAGATCAGGAAAGGAGATCACGGACGGGCAAATTTGCCTCTTTGAGTTTCTTTCTACCACCGCTTGTAGTTGGAAACTGCCCTCTATTTCAGTCTTGTAACAATGGGTCTACACCTGCACCTTCTTTAGCTTAGCTGCTGTTGAGGACGTCTGCTTTTCACAGAGCTAAAGGATGAATATCCAAAACCGCTGGTACTATATTCAGAACAAAAATAATATATGCAGCACATACCCACAAGGCGAGACCCCCCCTAACTCTTTTGGCTCATGCTGTCCTCCACAGGACGGAATTGCATAGCAGGCTAGCTGATAGCTGCAGCATGGCAATACAAAAAAAGCTATACAAAACACTACATACAAATAGGATACACAAGTTAAATAAATCATAACTTGTACATAGCAGAAACCAGCGGGCCTGGTGCTGGCCAATCACATGCAGCCGTGCGTCAGCGAGACCAGGAACACAGAGAGCTGTTTCTGTACAGAAAGTGCAGCAAGGGTTAAGGAATAAAATTATTCGACTGCAGCAGTCACAGCACATGCTACCAGCACATGCAGCCACAGCACATGCAGCAGTCACATCACATGCAAACAGATCACATACAGCGACATCATATGCAACAGTCACACCACATCACATGCAGCCGTCACATCACATGCAATCACATTCACATCATATGCAGTAGTCACATCACTTGGAGTCACGTCACATACAGTCACATCACCTGCAGTCACATCACCTGCAGTCATATCACCTGCAGTCACATCACCTGCAGTCACATCACCTGCAGTCACATCACATACAGCCAAGCCAACCACCTGCCAGACCAGGCAGCTTAGCAGTCAAATGGGAGGAGAACGAGGACTAAAATGGGTGGGGACCAATGAGGGACGAAGGGGGGAAAGTAGAGGTCAGGGCCAAGGGGGATGAGGGGTGGATAGGTCGTGGGAGGGGGTTCAGGGAGATGATGGGTGATGGGGGGGGAGAGGGGGGAGGGGGAGGGGGGGAGGGGGGAGGGGGGAGGGGGAGGATCGGAAGAGGAGGGAGTCAAGAGGTGAACGGGTGATGAGGGTGATGAGGGGGGGGGGGGGGGGAGAGGGGGAGGGGGAGGGCGGAGAGGGGGGAGGGGGGAGGGGGGGGATCGAGAAGATGAGGGAGTCAAGAGGTGGATGGGAGGGAGACAAGCGTGAGCAGGGACGAAGTTCAGGTATGGGTGAAGGGAGGAGACAAGAGTGAGTCGGAAAAAGGGGAAGCAGGAAGGTGGGGGAAAGAGGGGGAACGAGGGTGAGTGAGTGGTGGGAGATGAGGGTGGGCGTGAAGGAAGGAACAAGAGAGCGCGGCAATGATATGAAGGGGGTGCTGAGGGGGAGAAGGGAGAGAGGGGGGAATGAGGGGAGAGCGGAGAAGATGAGAGAAGAGCGGGAAAGATGAGGGGAGGGCGGGGAGGATGAGCGGAAAGCGGGGAAGATGAGGGGAGGGCGGGGAGGATGAGCGGAAAGCGGGGAAGATGAGGGGAGGGCGGGAGGATGAGCGGAAAGCGGGGAGGACGAGGGGAGGGGCGGGAGGATGAGCGGAGAGCGGGGAAGGTGAGGGAGGCGGGGAAGGTGAGGAGAGAGCTGGGAAGCGGAGAGATGAATGACGTTACTAGGCTAGGTCATGGGGTGAAGAGGGAGAGAAGGGGAAGCGGGGAAATGGGGAGGGAAAAGGGAAAATTAGGGGAAAATGGCGGTTTCACCTGTTATCTTTCGCGGATCCTCTCCGTCCTCAAAAAAAACATTCACCGCCCATTCTCCCGTTTCTCCCCGCCACTCACCTCCTGCCCTCCTTATTTACGTCTTCCATCCGGCTACCGTCGACGCGCTCTCTAATCGACGATACGCGCAGCGTTACTAATGCGTTAAAAGTGACGCGACCAAATCGTCCGCGTACAAATGATACTACTCCGCCCGGTATCCGCAAGTGAGAAAAACGTCAGATCTGGAGGCGTGCAACCGAACGCGGTGGGGCGACAACTGAAATGTCGGGTATCCAGATCTGATTCTGCTAGCACGCTACCAAACGCGTGAAGCGACGAACACTAAGAACGACGATTAGAGTGTGCCACAACAAGAAACACGATGCCCTTACGCTCCACTTCGACTACCGCGCTAAGATCTGGTAAACAAGACAAGAATCAAGAAACAGCTATCTAACAAGACGAGAGGCGAAACTACCACTGATAGTGTGTCAAGCCTCGAGCGATTACATCTGGAGAATGACGGGTGAGAGAGAGGGGGTTAGGTGTGGCAGGTTCGGCAACTCGAGGTTCGGATTGTTGATAATGCCCTGGTCCATTTCTATTGGCTCACGTGAATCTCATTTCATCCAACCATTGTATTTCCAGCTGCCCGAGTCAGCTGAACTTTTCCGCGCCACTCACGTTTCCCATAGTAACTAAACGAAAGCCGTCCCGCACCTCACGCAACACTCACACGCGTTCGCACATAAAAACTCATACCCAACCAAAAAAGCGCCACGTCAACCATCTCCTAGAA